ATTATGACCCATGTCTTGAGTTAATTGGTTCTTCCCTATTTATTTTTATATTTTTAAAACTCTAATATTTGTTATTTCTTGTATGTCTGGGCTCATGAAAAATGTTCATTAGTGATCCTGGAGGCACTACAGTTTGGGACACTGTTTGTGTCTTCAAAATCAAACTTCAGGGTTGCCGTAAGTCATTTTTTGATTAACGTTCTATGTGCTGGGATTATTTATGTAACGTTTGAGGCTTTTAAGTTTGTTTTTTTTTTTTTTCAGTCCTTCCCAAGAGTTCCAGACTAGTGATGATTTTTCTCCAAGAAAATAGTTTAGCCTTGCCTTTCTATAAGGTTTTTTTAATCATCTAGGTTCCTGATTGAACCATGGATGTCCACTGTACCTTTGTGTGCTAAGGACTCATTGACACTCAATGGGTAGAAATAGTTTTTTCTCCTCCACTCGTCATGACCTGCCCTATTAAAGGTGTAAATAAATAGACAAACCCAAGAGTGCATTGCTCATTTTTTAAGATTTTAAAAACATTTTGGCGAAGTGTAACATATACAAGAGTTAGATGCACAAATCCTAAGTGAACACTTTAGATTTTCCAATAGTGAACGCAAGGATCCTCCCTCGAGAACTAAAATATCATCTGCACACCAGAGGCCCACATAATTTCCTCTCAAAAATATGTCCTCTAAACGATTAAAAAAAAAATCCCTTAAAGTTAAGGTATTCTCTATAAGCCATCAACACTGGAAGTACTTGAAAGGAGCTATTATGAATTTTTTTTGAAAAGAGAGTGAACGTATATTTGTTTCTGTTAATTTGTATTAATGACAATTAGCACAATAACTGTTAACACAATAAATGCTGCTTAACAGTTGCTTCTTGCATTTGTTGAGTTATTAGATTCACGTTGTTCAGGATTAATTGTTTGATGTTCCCATGTTTGAAAAATGAGATTAAAATGTTTTTAGGAAAAGCTTTCATGTGACATTTTTAAGAGATACTTATTAGTAAAGTAGTGAAAAATTTGGGTTACTTAAAAATATTGTACAGCATTATTACTTTATACATAAAGGAATGGAGGACCACAATTATGATATTTTCTTTGTCATGTCTATAAATATTCTTCCAATTGCATTCCCTGGCTATTTTTTTGTGGTTTTAAAAATTATTAAAATAGATAAGCCATCCATTCCCTTCACTAAGTGTGCACTATTAGTAAAATTTTATGTGTTCTGTCAGCAATTTGATGTGATAAAGCAATGGTTTTCCTGTAGTTCACACAGCACCAGGGCTCTGCAAAGTATCTCTGGGGGTTCTTTGATGTCTAGACAGTTTAAATTATGCCTGCTCCCCTGCCTCCAAATTCCACCCCTGTTCTGCTTCAGGGGTTGTGGGAAATGAAAACAAATCAGAAGGGTTCCACAACCCTACAGTCTAGGGAGAAAAACAAACAAGTAGAATAAGCTGTATATCTACCCTGGCAGGTGTATAGGGAAGTGCCCAATTACAGGAACCGTAGAAAAAAAAAAGAATTAGGGACAAATATTGTCCTTCTTGCTTATTTCTAATTATATTCCTAATATAGAAATACATGTGCATTGCAGACAAAGTCAAAATGTGCTCGAGGCATTAGAGAAGGAGGTTCGAGTTGCCTTTTACCACAGCTCCCCAGTTTTTCCTCCCCAATGGCAGCCAAATCTACAAGATTGGTGTGTTTCTTATGTAGTGTCCTGTTTATTGAAATGGTAAGATGCAGAATTGCATTCTAAGTTGAAAAACTAACTTTTTTTCCTTCCTTTTTTTCTTGGTTTTCATTTTAAAATTCGGGACACCATGATTCTTCCAACCCATCTTTTTAGAAAGTAAGTAACTTTTGAAAGTTCAGAGTTTTGTTGTTGTTGTGAAAATGTTGATGCTTTATTAGTTCAGGTATATATATACACATATACATAGTTTATTACAAAATTTTTAACTTTTAAATTTCAACCGAGTCAATTAACCCTTGCCTCAACCGTAAGTGAAATGTTTTTAATTCATTAAAAATATGAATTGTTACATAGGTGCTCATGCTATCTAAGAATACACTTTTTACATATATTTACCTCACCTTCCTTCACACGCACAGTAAATCATTTAAATATATATTCATATATAAACATATTTAAATATGTATGAATATAAATATGTTTTGCTTAAAGTGGGCCAAGGCATACTTTCTGGCTTTTTAAAATATGAAAATAATAAAAATATATAAATAAGACTTTTATTTATTAATGTTCAATGACAAGTTCATTAAGACATTCATTTCTTCAGGAATTGCAATCCAAATTTTCTAGACTGTGTGGAGTTGTTGAGAATAACAGCAATAAGTAAATGGTATGAAAAACTTTTAAAAAATTCATTTTCCTATGTGTATTCTGCATTAGATGAAAGTTACCTTTTATTAAGCATTTAACTCTATTGATGCTATTGTTTTATTGTTTTTAAATAAAATGGATCATATAATTAATTTTTTTTCTGTTCAGAAATGCAGGTGTTATGCTTACAATTAAGTGACTAATGAGCCAGTGATTTGAGATGTAAAATTTGCATTTTGTTGCAGATTATTTTCTTATTCTTCCAAAATGCAAATTCATTTAGTTTTGAAATAAAACAAATTTCAGATGTTTGTTTCCGGAAAGATTTGAGAGAATTATAGTGATCATTGAGACTTGGAGATATACTGTCATGTGATTGTGAAGTACATATTTTTAAATATTTCCATAGTAAATCTTGAGTTTATGGAATTAATAAACAGTATAATTTAATAATATATTCATGCTCAACAGAGCTTATTATTTATATGAAACTGGGTGCTTATCACTTATATTTGCAGCAAGCATAGCATTAAACTGCTACTTAATATTCAATTTATCTTCCAAAATTATCTTTCATTTACTGTACCTTAGAAAGAAAATGTAAATTATAGTGATGGTGAATTATATTTGTTCAGCATTGTTTAGTTGTCTTGAAATCTGTATTATTCTTTCATGTTCATCTTTAGGACTTTAGGAAAAAACAGGAAGAATGTGTGTGAGGTTCGATGTTAGGTGGACAATTTTATTGTTATATTTTTAAAAGTCTACATTCTTTCATTTTTATGTATTGGATTCTTTTTTACTTGTAGTGTTAACATCCTCTTGCCAAGTCCCTACAGAAAGTCTGTGTTTCTGACAGTTTCTCTAAATTAAAACTCCACAAATCTGGCATAATAATTTCCTAGCTTCAAATTGTCTGTGCTTTTATCTAAAGAGAAAATGACAAAAATAGGCATTCAGAGTGCTCAGCATAACATGTACAACATTATTTATCTGGAATTTGTTCATGGACAGAGATATTTCTGGGGGAAATGAATCTACTTTACTGTATAAGGTATGCCTGGCCCACTTGAAATATGAGCAGAAAGTCTTTTGCGAGGAAAAATAATGAAACGAGGTCTGTAAACTTGGAGAAGCTTCATGAAGAAAGATATTACATAAGCACACACATTGCAATTACCATGTATACTTTAGTGTTATTACTACATCATTCTCTGAACACATTCAGATTAGGGCGCTTGCTTCCTGTCAGATCCATTGGGATCATACTGACATGTTGGCACAGAGAAGCTACTTCCTAAAATAATACTGTGTTCTTCTTATTATAATACTCATAAACCTTTATAACTTGATGGGTTTATATGTCGTATATATGGGTTTATATGCCATACACACACACACACACACACGCACACACTCATATATTCACACATATACATATGAGTGTGTGTGTATACACATACATACAAAGGAGATATATATTTTTTTTTCACTTTTTTTCATTTTATTGGTGGGTTTTCATAGTAGGTAAGAGATTTCCTAATTTTCGTTTTTAGAAACTCTTAATTTAGAAACATAAAATAATGTTTCTTTCATGGAAATTCAAACCTTCCTATCCTAGAGCTCCATAATCTTATCTGAGAATATTTTGGGTTAAATACACAGAACCTGTAAAACACAAATGGGGTGGAGTGGGGCTTCTCCTCAATAGTGGTTCAACCAAATATTGATCTTTCAGCATATTAGGAAGTAAAATGTACATGGAAGCGTAAGTAAGTGAAAGTAATAATTCTGGCTCTAAATTCTAGTTTATGCAAACAAAACCCAAAAGAGGTTCTAAAGTCTACACCAGAAAATACATAACACATACATTTTACATTTTACAAACATCTTTCTTAGGTATAATGAATACATTTCAATAATGTTTGTACAAATGTGCTTTGAAATTTTTAATCATTAGTTTAATGCCAGTTGATATCTTTAAAAAATCTGTTTTCATAATTCCGTCACTTGCATCTATGCTACAGAACATAAAGCTGGGCAGAATTCCCAAACACTTATTTTTTTATTGACAAATCTGAAGAAGCTGTATCAGGTATAAACACAGATATAGATTTTTTATTTGGCCATGTGAGAAATGTAATCCTGTGGGTAACTTAAACACTTGTAATTTCAAATCAGTTCTTCCCTGGTTTCTCATTATTCTTTTGTTGCTTTTCAACCTATAGGATGGAGCTGTCCTTGAACTTGGTTTATTTGATCACTCAAGTGCAACCATCAAGTTGTCTGTAATATTTAAAAACTGAGGCTTCATGGTATTATTTGTAAAATAACAGCACATAAACATTTGGGCTTTGGTTTCTTTGATATAGAGCGTTGGTTGCTTTATGAATAAAAGCTTAATTTCAATTCAGGAGACTTTTTGCCTGAAGCCTATAAGACAGATGCATCTGATTAACTTTGGCAAAACTGGACTGGCCTGTTATTGTAATGTAGATGTTTTCGGGGTTGGGAGGATATTTTAAAAAGGCATGTGAGAAGGTCTTTTTTTTTTTTTTTTTTTTTTGAGAAAGAGACAGAGAGCACCATTTTGCTACAGAAATTGCATCTCAGATTGCTTCACTTTTGCATACTTTTATTTTCTAGTGGAACTTCTCCATTAGCCTGTCTGAATGCAATGCTTCACACTAACACTCGAATAGGGGATGGAACATTCTTCAAAATCCCTGGAAAGTCAGGCCTTTATGCTCTCAAAGTAAGTCAGATTATTCTGCATATTATGTCTGTTATTACTGTGTATCATGCATTTTTTCAGACATGTGAAGGTAAACAAAATTAGATTTGGGTGAAGGGTAGAAAAATGACCCCTGTGCCTTTTAAATGTTTTCAGATGTCTTAAAAAATGATTTCATATTAAGAATAAACAATGACATTTTTCTTCAAGGAAAGCCTATCTGTGGTTTCTCTCTAACATATGGTAATGGAAAATAGTTGTGGCTTCCTTAAAATTCTTGATTCTTAAAAATTTACATGGAGGAGTGCCATGAATCTTCAGCCAAGGGTTTAAGATGATCACAGTTGCTGTAAACTATTTGACTTAATGACCATAAGCTGATATACAGACTTCACACCTGTATGCCTTTCTGTCTTTTATAAAAATAAACTTATCCGTTCATCTCAAAAAGATGCGAGTTTAAATTAATTATTCAATTTTAAAACAGCAGTAATATCAAGCGAATTTTAAATAATTCATACTTGTGTGAGAAAAATAAAGAAATAAAAAACTTCAGATAATGGAATCTTAATTATTTTAGTATAACTTCCAACTAGAATGGGAAATGCTGTCTAAGATGAAAAATTCCAGAGGATAAAAGCTGATGATCTACACATGGTTGTGTAACTTGGAACAAATAAAATCAGTGTATTATTTCTTATAAGTTAAAAATACTTCACTGCTATAATATATGATGGATTACATTTAATGTTCATTAATGTCCTTTGAGAAGGGCATTTTTAATGCTGAAAGTTATACCTGGCAAAGAAGCAGGGGTTCTTTCTCTGCTACTAAGCATTAAACCCTTCTCATTGTGTGTTTCAGAAAATTACACAGGTTAATTAAAAAGACTTGTATTATTTTAGTTGCTTTTTGTAGCTACTTGGGTATTTAATTTACTGGTAAAATTCTTACTTGTGAAGCCATTTCCTAATATAAGGAAGACTGTAGAATTGAAAAAAAAAAAGGTAACAATGTATACCAAAAGGAAACTTTTATATAGATTTTAAAAGACCTAAAAAATCATCTTGTGGCAGTGTGCTTTTCCCAGTGGTTTGGTTTGGTTTGGTTTGGTTTGGTTTTTAAAGGAGTGATTTTACATTAAGATATAAATCTGTTGAAATTCCAAATCACAAGTAACAGTGGTAATACGTTAGGATCCTGAAAATATATTAAATGTTTTCAGTTGCCAGTACATCTCCATCATAAGTCTTCATTTTTTTTTTTCTTTTTAAAATAATATAGAAAGAGGAGTCGTCATGCCCAGCTGACGGAACATTGGATTTAGGCTGTGAGTCTGAACTGGATGGCGCGGAAATGGCGGAGGCCAATGCCAGCGGAGAAGGAGATGGAGGTGTGTGTGAGGAATGTCAAGATATAAACCTTATTCTCTTAAAAGTTATACAGAATTCCAGGAATTCACTGATTGAATTCCCAACCGTTAGAGATACAATTCCTTCTCTAAGTGTTTACCTCCTGCATAGATTCATCATCAAATAATTTTGATTCAAAAGGTTGGCACGAAAGGAAAGTATGCATTCTTTGCCTTTTATTTTTTTTTTTAACAATAGGCTTTTCTGGATAATATTCTTGAGTGTTATCAGTATGTTTCTCCTGTAAGGTGAGAGTGTTGCTGGAGTTATCTAGTGGTTTTATTCTTCTGTGAGGCAGAGAATGCTAATATTTTCTCTCTGATTGTGTTTCTCTTTCCTGTGATCACGAGTAGTTTTGTGACAGCTTCGTTCCTAGGTTTGTCCTTTGTAAATGAAGCCTTGGATTAATATTCCTCCCAATGAAACATGGGCCAAATAAGTTCTATTCTTTCGAAACTCTTTTGAAAAGTGAGTGACCCTTCCAGAATTCTAAGGGGGCATTTTCTGCCTCTGAATTCTATCCAAGTTAATTCGTTTTTATCTTTCTTGAGACATTTACATTATGATTCCATTGGTGTGTATAATTTCCGTACTGCAGTTTTAACAAATCTTTGTTCCACCAACGCTGCTGGACTTTTTCCTACCCTACCCACTAGTCCCACAGAGTGGACCCAGAGCATGATTTTGGGAGGAAGACTGTGTCATTAAAGCCTTGGTTGGTGGACTCATAGAAATCAGTAAATTATCTTTAAACAAACAAACCTTAAAGGATCCTTGCAGAAATATCGTATTTCAGTAATAGCCCAAAGCCATTCATTTTATTAACAGCCATAGGAGTCTCTTTGTATTCTGACTGGACACTTCTGCCCTTTAAGCTGGTCTGCTTTCTGATAGTCCCCATGAGACTTATTTTGCTTTGGTGCCTATCTGATCTGCAATAGAGGTTGTGAATTAAGGTAGGAAACAACAGATTCTTTGTAAAAAAGGCTGATGTTGACTCTGTAGACTTCTTTTTTTTTTTAAAGCCAACTTTCACTGAATTTGTTGTCCTGATCCTTACACCTTTTAAAAAAACTCAGCTCCACACCGTTGTGTGCTAGTACTATGAACTTCGACAGGTCCTTGTGGTTACAGAGGGAACAAGGAAGATGCATAGCAATTTCTGCCTTTCTGGAAGGGCTGGTAAGTGGGGCAAACTGTTTCTCTTTAGGAGGATGAAGGGGAATCATTGGGTCCTTCCTCTTATTGCCCTGCCTGCTTTAGTGACCACGGTGTGCTCTGTCTCTCTCTCTCTCAACCTGTATATTGAGCTTCTCTTATGTGCTGCATACTGTTTTCAGCACTGCAGTTTACGCAGTAAAAAGCAAGAACAAAAAGAGACCTCTCACAGATCTTAGGTTGGTAGAGAGACAGGTAATAAGCAAAATAAATGTGTAAAATGTGTAGCTTATTCAGTGCCAAAAAGTGATATGGGGCAAATTGAATGAGATGAGAGAGAGGAATACATATGAGAAAAGATCTGAAAGGAGTTAAGGGAGCAGGTATTTAAGGGGAAAGAGTTCTAGGTGAAGATCCAGCTATTACAAAGGCCTTGAAGCTGGAGAGTGCCTGGAATGTTCCAGGAATATCAAGAGGCCATTGTGGTTGAAGGCCAGAGTGAGCAAAGGAGAGGATGGTAAGATATGAAGTCACAGAAGTTATGGGGCCAGATACTATAGTGCCTTGATCTTGCCTTTTGCTTTGAGCAAGATGTTCAACTCTTACAGGATTTTGAGCTAGAGACAAAATGATCTCACTTAGATTTTAGCAGGAGCAAAGTATAGCGGAAGTGCTAATTACAGAAATATATATGGGGGTGGGGATAAAGGACAAAAACAGAGGGAGGGGCAGTTAGAAAGCGATTTCCATAATCTAGATAAGAAGGGATGGTGGTTTGAAAAAAAAGAGTAGCAGTGGATGTACTGAAAAGTGATTGGCTTCTGGATATGTCTGAAGCTAGATCCAGGAGAAGCTGCTGGAATTAGCATGGTTAGGCAATAAAGAAAGGAGTTGGAGATAACCCCAAATTATAAGTGTTACCAAATAGAAGAATTAGCACTCTCTTTAACTTAGATGGAAAATCTGCAAGTGAATTAGTTTCAGGGGCAGCGGGTTGTTGATCAGGAGTTCAGTTTTGAACATATTAAGTATGACATTCATTTTTACCACCAGAGTGGATGTGTTAAATAATTGGACATATCTGTCCTGAATTTATGGGAAAGACTTTGCTGGAGATATACATTTGGAAGTGGTTGGTTTACAGACAATATTTAAACACGAGAAACTGGATGAGATCACAAAGGAACTGAAGGGAAATAGAAAAAAGAGAAGAAGCCCAAAGACTGAGCTCAGGGATATTCGAATTTTAAGAGCTTGGAGAAGGTATGGAAAATAATTACAATAAATGAGACTGAGGATAAATGGATAGGAGAGCATGTTGTCTGTTCTGGAAGCCAAGTAAAGAGAGTGTTTCTGGAGTGAAAGCACCTCAAATGTGTTAGATACTTGTAGATACACAACTCATAATGAAGACTGAGCATAACCATTGGATTTAGCTTCTTGAGGTTGTTGATGAACTTGACAATGACAATTTCTTTCTAGTGGAGAGACCACAGCCTGCATGGAGTGGGCTCAAGAGAATGGGAGACAGAAATTAGAGACCCCAAATGTAGCTGATGCTTTCAAGGATTTTTCAGGTAAAGGGAAGAAGTGAAATGGGAAAATGGCTAGAAGGGAAAGTGGAATCCAAAAAAGTAATTTTTTGATATGAGAGAGAAGCAGGAGAATAATTCTACACTGATGCGTAAAATCCAGTTAGGAGGAAAATTTGATAATGAGGAAGTTGTCCTGTGGCCATGTGCTTGATTAGAGGAGAGGAAATGGGATCTGTTAAATGGATGAAGAGACTGTCCTTATTTAGGGGTATAGACAGGTGCTCTAAGGAAGCAGAGGGAAAAAGTCAGGGTATTTGGATAGAAATGAAGGTAGGAGAGTATATGTGGGAGGGGCTTATGGAAATTTGCTTTTTATTGCTTCATTTTTCTCAGTGAAATAGGAAACAAGTTCTTCAGCTCAGGATGAGGACCAGGGAGGTAGTTTTGCAGATTCAGGGAGACTATATAAAATGTTTGTCTAGAGTCAGGCAGCATTAAGTATACTCTCAAGGTTGCTAATTCTGAATTTAATACAAGACTAGCCAACATGGTTGTACTTTTTCCAGTCATGTTCATGACCACTGTTACAAGTGCAGAGTCGGTACAGAGTCGGACTTGACCATGGTTGGGATTTTGCCAGGTGTGAATGAAGAGGTGAGAGAGGGATGAAGGAGTTAAGAGTACATGAAATGGAGTGGTTAAGATCAGTCTCCATGGTAGTTGAGGTGGTTGTGGAGGTGAGTAAGGACATGATTATGTGAGGGATGACGTGAAGCGGGAGGTCTTCTTGGAGTGAAAGGATTGTTTGATATGGTGTTCTACAGAAAATGAGTTAGAAGGACAAATGACTTGAGAGACAGGAAATTGAGGTTAGGAAAATATTATGGAATGTATGTCGGAAATGAGAGGAAAGAAAGAAGGAACCCCGGTGTAAGGCTGTCACAAATGGTTGGAGCGTTCACGCTCTTCTGGAGTGGCCTGACTGAAGGGACCATCAGCTGCAGCTGAAATTCAGCAGCCCTCGGTTTGCCCAGCCTCGTGTTATGGGATGGAGCTGAGTCTGGAATAGAGGTCACCCATCCCATTTCCAGGCTCAGTAGGACAAGATGTGTGGAAAAGAAAGGGGCTTCCACCTGAGAGGGTTCTAGGGGAAGTAGTGGTCATTGGAGAGAGCCAGGTTTTTTGTAACTCAAGACGTGAAGGGAAGTTTTCAGAGAAAAGATGGAGGCTCATGTATTTTGGAAATTGACTACTACTGAATTTCAGAGGAGACAGTGGGAGGGTTTTAGTGGCTAGAAAGGGGCGGAGGACCAGGCAGGAGCATTCAGCCAATAGCTAAAACAAAGTAGGGAAAGAAAACTCCCCTAATTTGAAATGTGAATAGGAACATCACAAAATAACGCATACCTGCACATCTCCAGCTAATGTGACCAAGATTAAATTTTCTGGTCTCTCCTTTGAAGTTGCATTAGAGAAATTGTTTTGGGGAATCATTGAACGGATAATAAATAGCTAGTTTCCTTGAATATTCCTTGACTTTCCCACTTTTGTTTGCATCTTAAGGCAAACCACAATTGCTTCTTTTTAGGACAAGGATATCTCCTATCCACGTAAATACCATATATTTCTGTGTATAACCCATCAAACTTGCCACACTTAGATATTGAAAAGCACTGCCTCCACTGTCCAGACTTTGTAAGCCATATCTGGTTTAATCCTCATAATGTTCCTATGAGATAAATAATCTTTCTAGGCTCTGTTATTTTTTTTTAATTTCCTATTTTTATTTATTTATTTATTTTTGCCTGTGAGAAAACAAACTTAAATATCTCATCCAAGTAGCAAGCATAAAACCCAGGCTCTAACTGCCGTGATCGTCCCTTGGAATCCCAGGGAACACTGTTAGCCAGGAGTCATTGATACAGTTTTGCTTTTCCCACATTTGTGCAAATCTGTTCTGACTATAGACTTGAGAATTTGACAAAGAGGAACCCCTGGCTTATCTGAATTAAGGAGTGGGATACCACATGACTTCTTACAAATCAATAATACAGTTCATGAAACTGAAGCAGTTCAGGTGATTTCCTTGCTGATTTTGTTTCTAATACATATTTGAACCAGAAGTTAGAATGGATACAGTTTCTGTACTTCTAACAGCTGTACAAATATACTTTGAAAATATAATCAGAGAGAGGGAGAGAAGGTGGGGGAATGTGTGGGGTTGGGAGCCAGGGCAGGGAGAGAATGAGAGGGGAAGGAAATGGGGAGGGTCCCACCATCTGTTTTTT